ACCTAGCTCCCTAGGTAGGTACCGACCGCGAAGGTGAGAATGTTAATATCCGGGCAGCGGCATCTAGTTGAGGTCGCGCTAATTAAATAGGGATTTCAAGACAATACCCAGGAGGTAAGACTTTTAGAACTGTTTATTCACACAAGGGGAAATTTTAATTGCCTAATAAACCTAAATATTTAATATGCCTAAATGTATAATACCTAAATGTTTTATACATAATGCTATCCTTCTAAACAATTACACGATTTACCTTGAAATTAAATATCTTTATCTCTGACATAAGAATTTTAAATATCGTGTTTTAAACGTATTTTTTATTCAAATTACAATATTGCATCAAAATGAGGTTCTAATGATTGAATAAAAGCAGCGAAAGGCGTACTTGTATATGACGGCACCTGCACCGTTGTAGATGCGGTGGCGTCAGTCTAGCTAAACAGAATTCTTGTAAACGACACGTGTACCGCACACCTGCGGCATTGCACCTGCGTTGCCGCCCGTCCTGTTTGTATAAAACGGACTGAGCGGCCGCCGTTAAGACAGTCTTGGCTCTGACGTGGAACGGTACGCTTGTCGTATTCCGTCACTAGTTTATCCTCGACTCGTTGGATAATTAATTCGTGTAAACGAATTAATTATTATTCCTAACTACAAAATCAGTCTCTGTACTATAACCACTATACTTCCTACATCAGAAGTGGGATAAAGTCCCCCTTATTGCCCACATATAATCTTCGAATAGTATGAGAATTATTACATTTGTAAAGGCTATAATGAATTTCGCATTGATGGATCTCTTTTTATGTTAAATACCGTAATGAATTTTGCTGTCCTACTTACGATATTGTCATATCATTAAAGTGTAGAGAAAAGATAAAGTGAAATAATTTAAGCCAAAAGATAAATCCTTTTTTTCGATTAGTATTAAAAGTACCCGCAAGTATTTTCATTATTTCTTGACGTACCTAAATATGTTAACAAATGTCGAAAGAAATGTTGGAGGCTTTCTAGTAGTTGGTTTGCATTCAATGAAAACTTAACTTGTTCAAGTTTTGTTGTGATTTGATAGTTCACGCGAAACGTGATTATCATTTGCTATACTTTGAAGTTCAAAACGTTTAAGGATGTACCAAAATAAAGGATTAACTTTAACATGCTATGAATTAAAAATAATAAGTGACATTTTTGTGTTCTAATCTGTTGACCAGTGTTGCAGTTTGCTCCAAATATTATGTGAACGACAAGATTGAGGTTTGATGTCTAAGGATTTAAAAGTCTCTACAACAATGATCAAAGAGGAAGATGCTGTGACGGCTAATCGAACATGGTCAGGTACGGCTGAGCGCTGGTATGATTGAGCCTACACCGCTACAATCGGTAACTTATCGGCTGATCTTACGACAAGGCAATTCAAGCGGCCGCCGAACAAATGGTGCTTTGGCACTGTAAATGGACGTCCTGAGGCTTGGTCGGCTTTTGTAGATTTTGCGCAGTTGCCTCCTTCCCTTTGAAATATGTGATGGTATCCGTCTCTACACATAGTTTCCGTTTTTTGCAATGTTTTCAAATGTCATACAGTTGCCGTTTCTTAAGAGAATATGTGATGAATTTTGGAAGCTCGGAATTCCATGGTTCGCAATACATTTATCTCGATTTCTTTTAATTTTGCAAAGCGGTGCGTCGATTCGCTAGCGCTAGTACAGCGTGACGGCTTGCTGGCGCGAATGTGGCACGAACACAACAGAAGGAATAGCTGTAGTGCGTTTGCCTGGAGGTAGCCATATCGGCGCGTTGCAGACTTAAATGAAGTCTAGGATGGTCGACCGTTGTAATATTTAACAAGAGTTAATACCTGTTAGCAGGTGGTGATAACTGATGGACCGTATGCTGTTCACTGTCAACCGCACGAGCACGTGCGACAGTCAGAGGTAGCCGTGTCTGTGCATCTAGAATATACTAGAGACGTTACAACACTCTAGCGAAGTAATTATTCTAGTGCAGGAAAGGAACATGAAGTTGCAGGGAGGCTGGTCTGTGCTACACTGGGATGGTCTAGTAGCTGTTGGTTTACATACTTGGGTGTTATCGTGTCACTCCGTCCCTCACGATACACTTTTGTGTGATTGTGACGGGGACATGTTTGCGGTATGGTTGGTCTGTAACTGTTCTATACTGAATTGAAATAAAAAGAGAGAGTAAGAAAAAAAAATGTGGTTCTTACTATCATTGCAGGGCGTTTGCCGGTCCAATGATATAGCTACAGGGAATAGTGATTCCGGACTAGCATAAATGGTACTGAAAAAAAGAGATTAAGAAAAAAGAATAGTTCTTACAATCATTGCAGGGCTTTGTGCCGGTCTAGTGATATAGCTATAGGGAATAGTGATTCCGGACTAGCGAAAACAGTACTTGAAAAAAAAAAGAGAAAATAGAAAAGCTACAGACTAAACATTCCGATCCAGCATAAAGATGATAAAAGTTTTGTAGGGCTTACTGCCGGAACAAAACTGATTATCACCCGAGTCTGAAGGGTCAGTATAGACCGGACCAGATGCTGTTTTGTCAGGATAATCGAACGATGTTTTACAGATTACAGTTGTTACAGATAGCTAAAATTGTGATGGAGCGCGTGCGAGGACGCACGCATGTCAGTATGGCCGTGACGGCACCTGCACCGTTGTAGATGCGGTGGCGTCAGTCTAGCTAAACAGAATTCTTGTAAACGACACGTGTACCGCACACCTGCGGCATTGCACCTGCGTTGCCGCCCGTCCTGTTTGTATAATACGGACTGAGCGGCCGCCGTTAAGACAGTCTTGGCTCTGACGTGGAACGGTACGCTTGTCGTATTCCGTCACTAGTTTATCCTCGACTCGTTGGATAATTAATTCGTGTAAACGAATTAATTATTATTCCTAACTACAAAATCAGTCTCTGTACTATAACCACTATACTTCCTACATATATATAGAGGTCAGAGACTCCGATTATTCGGTTATTGATGGTGGGTTTCTTATGTACCTCTTATGTACGTGTTTCTTATGTATGAACAAAGAAGTTGTGTCAAACCGGGAAGAGGGAAAGTGAAGACCAAAATATTTTCCTCCCAAGAACTTCAAAAACATTCATTTTGTAGTTATATTCTCTTTCGACATAGTTTCAGTGGGTGTGATACAAGCACAGCTATTTACAGCAAGGGTTAAACATCAATTATCAAGCTTTTTGATCAAAAGCCATTGCCTACTAAAGGAAATAGCAACTATTTTATGACCCAACATCAACTCCGGATGTTATAACAGAAGCCGGAGAAAAAATGTTTCTCGAAATATACCGACCGCCCTGTACTCAATCTGAAATTAACAGATATCGATTAACAGTTTTTCTGAAATCTTGTACCAAGCCCAAACCGGATCTTTCTTCCCTTACCCCTACCAAAGGGTCAACGAAATATCACGCTTACAGAGTATTCCATCAAGTACAGGAGTGGCTTGGGAACCAACTGCCTCCTGAAATATGGGGTTGGAATCGAGGAGTCGATGGAAACTTAGAAACAATCACGACCTTGAATCCTCCTGCTCCTGACGCGTTGTTAAATTCAATTTTTTACCGATGCAAAAGTGGTTGTTTTAGAAAATGCATTTGCCGAAAAGCGGCCATTAAGTGTAGTCTTATCTGTAACGGCTGCCTAGGAGCTTGTACTAATGGAGCCCCCATCAATGTTGATGCTGTAGACGACGAAGATGAAACGCAATTTGATTAATAAGTCGCCATGCTCGTGCAAAAAAATTTGTATAATTGATCAGAATTATTTGTATAACGATTTTGTTTATTATTTTTATAACCTTTAATACTCTGTATCTCCTAAAGTGTTGTTCGTACAGTAAAAATGTTTAGACGTAATTTATAGGAAATTTAATGTAGAAGTCAATAAAGAGATATTATAAATAATTTTCGAGCCACAAGCAAAAAAAAAACTTGAAAAAGAGACCTTTCCCCCTCTCCCACCGCCGGCTTGTGTCCCTCCCTCGGGGGCTTTTAGTATATTCATCTGGACACCTTAAGGAATAACTGTACCAACTTTCAAAAGTACATGAATTATTTGGTCTGATTTCTTTAATTTTCCCCTGGCTAATTGTGCAGTATAAAGTTCACTGTAGTTGCCGTGCGTAAGAGATTCTACCTAAGACATTCTACGAGTCTCAGTACGACTCTGACGCTGTTTTATTGCTAATAATAATTAGTTGCATAAGCAGGTGAGCAAGTTGAACAACCGCTCTCACACTTATTATTTTTAACAATTAACTTCCAGATTAATTTCTAACATATAGGTATATAGGTATATTTATACGTGGTAGAACTGCAGCTATGCTTATGGTTGTAGCATGAATGGGTCGGCTCGACCGGGGAAGGAAATTGTTTCGTATATTGCGTTTAGAGAACCGGAGACGAATTTTACTGGAAACGAAGGATTCCATCTAAGTCCTCAGGGGTGACAACGCGTTTGATATTGATTCTTAAACGAATAGATGAAAATGTCTATGTGAATTCACTTGCCATCAGGTGGACGGTGTGCTCGATTGTCAGCCTTATCCTATAAAATAAATGAGCGTTGTTAAAGAGAAAAATAATATGATGGCTGTTACTGAAATGTTTGGACTCATCTGGTAAATCCGACGTATGAACTTTAGTCATAACGACCAAGATAATTATTTTTTATGTCTTCATAGGAAGCCAAACAAAACACATAACTCAGTCTGCGTAAACATTTTTCCAAGAGAACGCTGACAAAAATCTTGAAAATGACACCTATAAGTATCTAAAACAAAGAAATATAAACACTGTCCGCGATCCAGGCGACGTTAAATCGTATTGCTAAAAATACCCTAGTCGAAATTCACGGGCAACGGCGACCGGTTACGAAACTAGTGCTCTCCGCGCTCGTCGAGCCAAACCATCAAGTATATCTTAGCAGCATCAAAGGTTATCGTTTTGATACAATGAGCATCGAACACCGGCGCTCTTGCACTGGCTCTGCGCCCCACGTCGCCAAGAGACTTTACGCCACCATCGTTCTCTTTATTGGCATCATATGTATATTCGCAGGTAAGGCATTTTATTTACTAACAACACGCTTATATCGTTCTATACAAAGTTGAATATTAAAAAAAATATTACATTCTTCATTCCGGACGTCTACGGTTCATTACGGTTAAACACAACAATTTTTCTTAAATTTTCTTTAAAATTTTGTTAGGATGTTTTGTATTTAGATAGTTTTACTTTCCAACTTTATCTAGATAGATTTCAACCCTTAGATAATTTTTCTGCCGACTTCAAAAAGGAGGAGGTACCCAATTCGACTGTAATTTTTTTATGTGTGGTTACCTCATAACTTTTTTTCTGGTTGGACCGATTTCGATGATTCTTTTTTTTTATTTGAAAGCTGGTGCTTCACGTGTGGTCCCATATAAATTTGATCAAAGTGTGGACAATATAAATAAGTAGTTTTTGGGTTATTATTAATTTTTATTTATTTTCTAACGCCTCTTGGCGTTAGCTCCGTCGCCCAGGTACTTATAGTTTAAATGATAACTGCCGCACACGTGGTATTTGAAATTTAAGTACCAAAAACATAAAACGGTATCTATTGCCCAAGAACAGAAAACATTATCTGTATTAAATAATTTGTCTACCTGGATTAGAATTAATTGAAATAATTAGGTATTATTTGTAATGAATGTGAGACCACGTTTATGAATGTACGCCAACGGAAAAATACACCGCAACTGCAGCTTTAATTATACAATAATTGTGGGCGTTTAAAACACAATACTAAGAATCTTGAATGCATTCCAGGCTATTTGTTAGGGCGGATGGCTCGGAACGAGGTGAAGCGAACTAACGACATCGTGTCTATCAACCTGACGATCACTGCCGACAATTTGTACAAAAGATCAAAACGTGTACTGCCTAAGGCCGTCCATCATAACGATTCCGAGAAAGTTGCAGCAAGAATACTAGAAGCGTTTAACTGTAGTCAGAGCGAATGTGGAACTATGACTAACTACAATGTCGCCGACTTAGTTAAGAACTGTATAACTATTGAAGTGTCAAAATTAATTAGGTCAATTAACAACGTCTCTCTATATTTGGACTCGCTTAGATGACATTTATAAAATTACTGTTTATTTTATTATTGGGACTAATTAGGTTTTATTTTTTGTGTAAATAACGGTTAGGTATGTTTAGTAATCTAGCTAAAGTCTAAGTTTTGTATATTATGGTAATAAATTTTAATAATTTACTTGTACAATCGTCTTCCATTTAAGAAGTTTTTTTTTACACTAAAAATATTATTTTAAGATTTTATTTTTAATTTTAACGCATTTTGTGTATTTTTAAATATATTTTAAAACGAAAATATAACATAATAAAATATTTAGCTACACTACAAACAGATATAATATTATATCATATAATGTTATGAATTTAAATTCGCGAAATAATAAACAAACATTTTACATATGTAAATTTTTATTATAATTCTGTCAAATGGTTTCATAATCGTAGTCCTCCACGTCAAACCACTGATAGCCAATAGACTTCCCCTAAGCCATTTCATAAAACATGCTAATCGATTTTTCTCTTCAACATCTCGTTGTGCCAGCCGCCTTTCGCAAAACGTCGTAACGTCCAGTCGGTGGGCTCCGCATCCGTTTGGTAAAAATGGTCATGCGGTTATCATTTCTACCACAGATGTGACTATCATTATCATCCTCATTACAGGCCTTCACAAGTCCACAGCTGAACATAGGCCTCCCCCAAGGAATGCCACAAAGCACGGTACTGAGCCACCTGCCTCTATAAACTTCCTGCGTATCTTACTAGATCGTCACTCCATCTAGTAGGGGGCTCCCTACACTTGTATGGATTGTATCATTTTTTTTATAATGATAGTTACACGAATGGGTCGTCTCGACCGGGGAAGGGCCACGCTTTCACAGAATACCAGTGTAAAATAGCAGCTTAATACTGCCGTATTTCGTATGGTGAGTTCTCGTTTCATACGGAGACCCTTTTTACTGGAAACGAGGCATTCCATTTTAATCCTCCATGACATCGCTTCTGCATTTTGATACTTAATCGAGGATAAATGTAGATGTGTATGGGTTTCAGCATCCACTCACCATCAGGTGGACTTTATGCTCGTTTTTCACCCGTATATTAGTGATCGATGCGTATACTATAAAAAAAACTTCGCTTACCGGTACAAAGTTGCCACTTGAGAACCTTTCTTCCCCATCGATCGTCGGATCTTCGAGCTATATGGTCGGCCCAATGCCACTCCAGCTTACTAATCCGTAATTCAGACGTGATTCCTTACCAATTCATTTTGCAAATATGAAATGCAATATTTTATGTTTTATTTTAGATTAGCTGTTCCCCGTGACTTTGCCCGCGTGTAATTTATTACGATTGGATTTCATGTTTTAATTTTTGTTTGCGTGGAACACTAATTATTTTACTTGTTTTTTTTTTTATTTATTTTAATTGTTCGGCCATTTCGAAGATTAGCCGGGACAAACAGGCCGGGAAAAATTGTGTTTTTGTTATAAGTATATACTTTCATATGCAATTAGTAAAAGCTGTTATTTTAACGTTACAAACGGACACTTCAATTTTATTTATTTGTATAGAATAGATTTCCGACCGATTTCACCATTTTGAATTTTATTAATATATATAATAAAAGAAAGAAGAAATTAACAAAGCTGTTCTAATCGCTCATTGAAAAACTTAAAGCTTGTGGAATAGTAATACCATTGAATGTTATAGTTTTGGCACCACATGTATCAGGTACAGCATACAGGTGTTTCGATACACAGAACTTGCCCTATCAGTCCCAGCAGCTTATGAAAATGTATAGCTACAATTAGTAACTTGTCACACTTTACCACGGAGATTATCCATCATATGGATTGTCGAGTGCAGGTTGACGTAATCTACACGGATTTCGAAAAAGCCGCCTTCGACTTCGAATTTAAAAAAAAGCTTGTTACACAAGGGGACATTCTGAGATGGATTGGATCGTACCTAAAAAATCGTTGGCGGTGTAAGTATATCCACTACCCCATATCGTCCCGTGGGTGTCGTAAGAGGTGACTGAGTGAAAATTATACAGGAGATGGGCAGCAGCATCTTCCTGCTAATAACTCAAAAAAATGGTAAATCCAATTGGGCATGCCCTGAACGCATTAAAAAAAATTACGTATAACATGATTATACGGAATTTTTAAAAGTAGTTTAAATACATTTCGACAACCCTATCGACTTCAACACCCTCGAAAACCATGAAAATGACACCCATGACGAGAAAATTGATACTACTTACTTTTAGTACGTACCATAGACTTAGGATATACTGGCGTAGTACGTACTACTATTATTGATTCTGTGCTTTTAAAATACTGTAATAAAAAATCTCTCATTATTATTACAATCAAGTATTTAAGAAATTTTGCTTATTCGAATATTGTGTATTTGTACAGCGATCTTTTTGAGCCGCTGCAAACAACCGAAACAATGTCCACTCACGACGGCGACTGACGTAGGGATATTCGATATACATCGATGCATCGAATTCACTCGATGTTTACAATACGATGCATCAAATGGATCCGATGTTTTGGAAAGTTATTGATATACTCGATGTATCGATGTATTTTCATAAAACATCGAATCAATGATAACTAGTCAATTGTAAAAAGGTATATTTATCTATCACTATTAATATTATAATGTCGCTAGTTGGCAGCTGTCAATCCCTTAGCGGAATCAAGAAATTGAGATTGGCTGGTTGTGTATTAAAGATAATCTAAGAAAAATCGTCTGGTCTGTCTCGGTCTTAAGGCGGCTACTCACTTTCGTGCCGCGGGGGCAATCTAGGACGAACAGCGAACGGGGAAATAGCAGAACTGTCTCTACACACATGCCTGCCGTTCTATGTGAGAGTATACGTCTCGCTGGACACACGCGTTGAGAATGGTGCTAGTTTTATCAAAATATAAATGAATCAGTAAATATAGCCTTGGCTATTTTTTATATAGAATAAGGGTGACAAATTAGCACAATCCACCGGATGTTAAGTGGATACTGTGGCCCATATACACCCATATTTATTGATAAAACAACTAATTAATTAATAATTACACCCATAACACAGTTGTTAAAAGATGCAGTATGACTCTACCACGTCTAAAAACGTTACAACGTTCAAATGATGTTCTTTCTGTGGTGCTACCGTAAAAAAAGACAAAAAGGAGATACTGGGTGAAGAATCCGCTCTTTATACACTTCTATCACCAGTGTCCAAATTTCATATTTTATTGGTATCCATTAAGACGTGTACTGCGCGTGAATGTTGCTAACGAACTGATTGAAAGTACCCCAATTGCGCTACATACGTGGCAGCGGTAGCTATGATCTAGGGAGCAAGGAAGGTCTTGCGCCCATATCGCTCTGCCGCAGGGCCGACTTAGAAAATTGCCCCTGCTGTCATACACACATCACAATTAAGGAGGCAATTAAGGGTCATCCCCACTCCTACACACAAGATTGCCCCTGCGGCAGGCAAGTGAGTAGCCGCTTTTAGACCATTTAACCCAGTGGACTCATCTCGCATAATTATTCCCCTCTGCCTAGGTATTTAAAAGCTTGTTCATTTATAAAAACTGTTTACGAAACCGAATTTACCATTACAAGAATCGTCACCGCCGAAGTAGGTGCTCTTTAAAAAATGACGATCGGTGCGGTTAACGTGTACATAAAGCAGTCAAAATACTTAAAATTTACAAAATGACGGAGTTATATTCCATATGTAAATATTTTTAATGTGGTGCATGCTTTTTTTCTACTAAAATAATTTAAAATAATATCATAAACTTTGACCTACTACTAAATGGATAATATGTAGCGTCGTATAACAGAAAGCAAATCACTGAAATAGCCTCATTAATTGTAAAAACTAAATATGAAGAAATATTTCAATCTCATGAACGAGTAGTTAAATATGGAGTACCACAGGGAAGTGTGTTAGGCCCACTACTATTCTTGTTATATATAAACGACTTACCTAAACCCGTTATTCAACCAGTAACACTCTTTGCTGATGATAGCACTATAACAATTCAATGCAATAAGAAGGATAGCTATAATAACAATTACATTAATAATTCTCTTATATCAATAATTGTTAAATCTTGAACGCGTCCAAGAGTGACGTCACGCATGGGAACGAACTGGCCGGTCCCGGCCATTACGCTTCGAGCTCCGCACACAGCAACAAGCTTTAAATTTAATTATTTGTAATTACTAATTAAATAGCATATTAAAGGTACTGCATTTCATTGCGGAGTTTTCATTGCAATATCCTCAAGAAATTGAAGACCAGCGTGATCAATATGGTGACCCCGACGTGATTTATGCGAGAAAAACATCCAGCATATCGAAGATTTCGAAAAATATACCGAACTAAGACGAACCCAACCTCAAGGAATCCGCCAGCCACCAGCTGCAGCCATTGTTCCGAGGGAAGTTCTTTTTTATTTTCCTTTCTATTTATCCATCCTACCTGTTTCAATTTGCGTAGTCTTTAACGTGGACAACGCCTTTAGCTACATACATCTACCGCCATCTTCAAAATATAAAAACGCTAAAATTATTACTTGTTAGTAATTGAATTACGTTCATTGTACGTCAATTTAACGAATAATTTATTACATGCAACGTCAATTTAAGTATAAATAAGCATTCTTAACAAAACAATATATAATAGCAGTTTCATATCATTACGCAAACATTGCAATTCAAGTTAACTAGTGTTCATAATTGTAAAACAATTAAAATAACCTTAATATTTATTTTATTTATAGTTTGCAATTAAAGAAAACATATTGCATTCTAAATATAGTGGTATAATCTATATATTTATTTTGCAACGCCCCAATTTAAAAAGATTTAAAGGAATTGTAGATATTAAACATAGTTGCCGACTATTCCAGGCGTATTCCGGTAACGAAGATTTGCTGTTGCAACAAGAACAATATCAATCGTCGTGCAATCATCGCCTGCAAAACCGGTTTATTAACTCGTCGCTTCATTGAACGTA